TTTTTTTTTATTTAATATACCTGACAATTCAATTCAGTTGAATTCAACTCAATTCATTTCAACTGTCAGTCTTCTGGAGTACTTACTGCAACTGAAATTTCTTTTCTGTGTTTATAGTAGGTGAATTTTAACTCATAATTAATTTGACCTTAATCCAAATTTAATTGTGCTTTTAAAAGAAATTCCTATCAGTTTTCAAGAGGTTATTCTCCAAGCTTTCTTGATCTAAAGCGTTTAATGTTTAAGCATACAGAGAGACATGGACAGAGAGTAATCCAGTAATGTAGAGAAAGAAACAAGTTCCTGGCTCCCATCTTATGCACAGCCCCTGGTTTACTTTTTTAATTCAGAAAAATTGTAATTTATCGCTCCTTCCTAAAACCAAGTATGAAGTAGTGCTTATGCTGTTCTTCTTTGAAACTCTCTAATTCTGCAAACCTTACATGATTCATTTAACCACGGTCAATTTGATGTTAATGTCACCATTCTAGACATTGAAGGTAACAAAAATGATCAAAAACACAATCCCTAGTATCAAGTAGATTGCATTCTAATATGGAACATTTCAGGCATGTCACAACAGTTGTATAGATTGCCACAAGAGTTTAGAAAAGCTGTTAATATGGAGAAGTTCCCATTTATTTGATTGTTAATGTTACTATATCCATGGCACTTTTAGGCTTTATAGGAATTTTCTGTTTGACCTCTTTGCATTTTTGTTTTATCAAGTTTTATAAAGTTTCTCATGAAAAAAAAAATCTCTGTTCATAGTTTTGGTCTATGTTACATAGCTGACAACTTAAGCATTTGAAAACAAACAACAAAAAACAGTTTTGCTATATAGCCCAAGCTGCCCAGAATTCAGATTCTTCCTACCTCACTTCCAGAGAGCTTCGATTACAGGTGTGAGCCACCATACTTGGCTAGGACTTAAGCTTAATGTCAACTGTGTCTTCTGTTAATGAACTTTATTCTTCAATACCCAAATATTATCATCAGAAGACACTTGAGCTGGGTGTGGTGGCTCACTCCTGTAATTCCAGCACAGCAGAGGCTGAGGTAGGAGTGCCATGAGGGCATCCTAGACTACATAGCAAGCTCCAGGCTAGCCTTGGCTACAGAGTGAGACACTGTCTCACTTCTCCCACTACCTCACTGCCCCAAATGGAACACTGTTAGTTTTGGGATTAGAAACATAAAGCACTTACTATGTGCTACCTTGTGTGCTCAGAGCTCTAGGAATATGTATTAATGCATTGGTTTATAATCTTTCTTTTTTAAAAAAAAATTTACTATCTTTATTTTTCATGTGTATGAATGTATTGCCTGCATGTATATAAGTACACCCATGTCATGCAGTGCCCACAGAAGTCAGAAGACAGCATCAGATCTCCTAGAACTGGAGTTTTGGGTAGTTTTTAGCCGCCATGTGGGTACTGGGAACTGAACCCGGGTCCACTGCAAGAGCAATCAGTACTCTTAACCTCTGAGCCACCTCTCCAGCCTCAGTTTATAATCTTTCTGATGTCTTAGCTATATATATATATTCTTTTAAAAGTAGAATTTATGTGCTTTTATTAGCATTGGCACACTTAGCCTCTTGGTACGCTTCGCTTCTTGAAGTACTATTTTTTTTTTTTTTAGGTATGCTGTTTTGTTTGTTTTAAATTAACCAGTGTAATGATTATTATAAATGCTCATTTACTTCTTAAGGTTACAAACATGTCAGACAAAAGTGAATTAAAAGCTGAGCTGGAGCGTAAGAAGCAGCGGTTGGCCCAGATCAGAGAAGAGAAGAAGAGAAAAGAAGAGGAAAGGAAAAAAAAAGAAGTATGTTCAATTTATTTTTTAAGCTCAATATAAAATAAGTGGATTTTATTTCAAGTTCTTACATTTTTCTGTAAAACTTCACAGTAGTTAAAACCCTAGCACTATAAGTGAATCTTTAAAGTCAGATATATTTTTTAAATGACAAAATTGGTAAAATTAAAATAATTTGGTTTTGTGTTTTAGGTTGTTTTGTTTGGTTGGTTTTGGGTGTTAAAAATTTTTTTTAGATTTATTTATTTTTATTTTATGTGTATGAGTATTATGCCTACATGTATGTAAGTGCACCCGTGTTATACAGTGCCCATGGAGGACAGAAGAACGCATCATATCTCCTATAACTAGACTTACAGACCGTTGTGAACCACCTTGTGGGTGATGGGAACTGAACCCTAGTTCTCTGCAAGAGCAGCCAGTGCTCTTAACCGTCTTACCAGCCCCAGTCCCATTTGGGTGTTTATTTTTCGAGACAGGGTTTTACCAGCCCCAGCCCCATTTGGGTTTTTGGTTTTGGGGGGTTTTTTTGTTTTTTGTTTTTTGAAACAGGGTCTCACTATGTAGCCCTGGCTGGCCTCAAACTCATAAAGATCTGCCTGCTTCTCTGCCTCCCGAGTGCTGGGACTAAAGGTATATGCCACCATGTCTGGCCTTAAAATAATTTCTATTTTTTTTTTTTTTTCTTTTAGGCAGGGTTTCCCTGTAGCCCCAGCTGGCCTGAAAATCACAGAGATCTGCCTGCCTCTGCCTCCTGAGTGCTGGGAATAATAAAGGCGTGTGCTACCACGGCTGGCTTAAAATAATTTCTTAATAGACTAAAAGTACTCTATATAGATCTATGCATTTCTAAGATTTGAGTTATGGAAGTTGAAATTACATATGTAGTCTCCCAGGGATATATTTGTTATGCAAAGGAAGGGTTGTCTGTATTATAATAGCTTGTAAGATAGGATGTATATATCATAAATTATTTATCCAAATAGTTTGCTAATAATTTTGCCAGAATGATATTACTGACAAACTGAACTATATGTAATGATTTATTTGATTAGAGAATTTGTATATACTTAATTCTTTTATCATGACTTAATCATTGTGGTATATTTATTGAACGGTAGGTTTGGTAGTATCATAAGGGTACCTCCATCTTCTGATTTTGTCATATATTCTAATATACAGCAAATACACATTAGCTCTTAGCTGGGCATAGTTTACTTGTCCTGCATTGAAATACATCTTTATCCCTATTGCAACTCTTTGGGCAGATTTGTATACTTACCACAGATACATTTCAAATGGCCAGTGTAAGATAATTTGTCCTAAGTGTGCATTATGTACCAAGTTAATGTATATAATAACCTAAGTAATAGCAAGACTAATACAAGACTCTTAGACATGTCTTAGGAACTGAGAGAAAGAGCCTTGGCAGAAAAGTCAGAGTCATAATTTATGTGCAACATTGCTAAGACACTGTGAAGGCCTGTAATTGAAGAATTTCCTACTTTATCCTGAACCTTTCTGTGATACACAGAAAACGATTGAAACTTTGCTTTAGGTATTTGATTAAAAGCTAACTGGTAAGGGAATGATTCAGACTGACAGAGGCAGACCAAATAGTATCTGTAACCTTAAACTGTCCAATGCTGAGTGCAGACTTGATTTTCTGTTCTGTGGATGGCTATAGGCAGCCTTTGAGGCTAAGGCAGCCTCTAACTATTACATAATTGATGTCTAATTAAAAAAAAAATTTTTTTTTTGGTCTTTTTGAGACAGGGTCTCCCTGTAGCCCCAGCTGGCCTAGAACTCACTGTGTAGACCAAACTGGTCTTGAACTCACAGAGATCCACCTGCCTCTGCCTCCTGAGCGCTGGGGCTAAAGGCATTTATAAGAGATGATTCAGTGGTAATAAGCAGTGTGTCTACTATAGTGAAGTACTCTGTCTCATCTTGGTGACATGGTCAGTTTTGCTATTTTGATGAAATTGTCTGATAAATTTAAGTTAAAATGATATCAGAATATTGTGACCTACCCAATTCACTTAACATCTGAATAATAGTGACATCCTCTAAGGCATATATGTAATACTTTTTCTTGAAAGCTTAAACTTTACTTGAGATGTTTTATATGATCAGAGAATATTGAGGTTTATCCAGTTTACTTTGAAGATTTTGCTAAAACTGTAAATGACTAAAATAAAAACTGACAAAAATTTTCCTAACAAAAACTTTTGTGTGATAAAAAATGAGTTTTCACTTTAACTACCCCAACTGCACTTTGCCTGTAATCCCAGCTACTTGGAAGACTAAAGTAGGAAGATTTCTTGAGCCCATAAATTTGAAGCCAGCTTGGGCAGGCCTTAAAATTACGTGTATGTGTGTCCACACATGGGAATGTGCACATGAATGAAGGTGCCAGACAAGTCTAGAAGAGGGTGTTGGTGCCCTGGAGCTGGAGTTACAGCTTGTGTGTGCTAAGAACTGAACTTGAATGCCAGGCATGGTGGTATACGCCTTTAATCCCAGCACTCAGGAGGCAGAAGCAGGTGGATCTCTGTGAGTTCAAGACCAGCTTGGTCTACTTGGTGAGTTCCAGGACAGCTGGGGCTACAGGGAGACTCTGTCTCAAAAAGACCAAAAAAAAAAAAAAAAAAAAAAAAAAAAAAAGAACTGAACCTTCTGCAAGAGCAGTGTGCCTTCTTCCGAGCCACCTCTCTAGATTCTCTAGAAGAATTTTTAATTTTTTAAATTATTTTATTTATTTATCTTGGAGACAGGGTCTTCCTGTAGTCCCAGCTGTACTGGAACTTGTTATGTAGACCATCCTGGCCTTCATCTTACAGAGATTTGCCTGTGGCTGCCTCCCCAGTGCCATAATTAAAAATGTGTGCCACCATGCTTGGCTACTTAGGGTTTTTTAAAGGTTCTTTTTTTTTTTAATGTTTTTATTTTGAGACATGATTTTGGTATATAACCTTAGCTAGCCTGGAACTCACTATGTAAACCAGGCTGGCCTTGAACTTGGGGCAATCCTCCTGTCTCCACCACCTGAATTCTGGGATTACAAGTATATACCACCATGCCTGCCTTTTTGTTTTCATGGCAACTCCTCAACTGCTTACAAACATGAATCCAATGAGAATGATTTATAAAAAGAGCTTAATCTATATTAAGAAATAATTTCATCCTAAAAGTTAGTGCTTTATTTAAAAATATCTTATGTAAACTTAAATTTTTAACTAAAAAATTTTTAGACTGATCAGAAGAAGGAAGCTGTTGTTTCTGTGCAGGAAGAATCTGATCTTGAAAAAAAAAGAAGAGAAGCTGAAGCATTGCTTCAGAGCATGGGGCTGACGACAGAATCCCCTGTTGGTAAGGACAAGAATTTATTATTCATTAGACAGCTCAGACTTATCTGAGCATATCTTTTGCATATTTTCTTTGTGTCTCAAAACTGTTAATCTTACCATTTACTTAGAATTGCTTTTTTTTTCAGATATGCTGTAGAGTTATTTTATTTGTTCAAGAGCTACAGAACAATGTCTACTAACTTGTGCCAAACTACCAATTGACTTTTCTTACTAAATCAATCATTTATTTTAAAAGTACTTGTTTAGCAAGTTTCATAAGTTTAAACTTGAACATTTCCTAATCTTAACAGTTTATCCTTTTGTAAGTTAGAGAAAGGTTATAATAAATCAGAGCTCTATTCCTAGTACTCCAAAGCATAGGAGTAGGAGACATGGATAGTGTTCTCTCAGTGCCCATAAGAGAGATAATATTGATAGCTTCTTTCAGCAGTGATTCGACTCAGTCTTGTTCTTTTTCTGGGTTATTTATTTTGATAGCTATACTAGACCATGAGGCTGAGTAGAAGTGATACTGATTATGCTCTAGTTACACATCAGAAAGCATTTAATATTTATTAAGATGGTTCCATGTTCGGTGCCATTACATAGTATGTATTTTAGTGTGACAATGGCCTTTATCCTTTAGGAACCTAAAGGTTAGTTTGTATGTTCATGTATGTGCATGTGTGTTCATGTGTGTGCAGGTGCTCATGCATGTAGAGGCCAGAGGACAACCTTGGGTGCCATTCCTCAGGCACTGCCCACCTTCCTTACCTAGATTTCAGATGAGAAGAGGCTAAGGTTGAAAGTGGCCGTCGAGGTGGAGGGAATAGTGATTACCAAGTCCCTGAGTAGACCCTGACCCAGTTAAGCTCGTATGGTTGCACTGTAATCAACCAGAGGGAGGAAAAGCGAAGAGCAGCAGTGGGCAGAGGTCAGGTTATAGAGGGCCATAGGTAGGATAGAAGGGGCTTTCATAAGAAGATTTCAAGCAAGAGTTTCTCAAATGAGCCAGTAAATGTCATTATAGAAACTACTATAGAGACTGAAGACTGACTTGCTTAATCAGAACTGTAACTGAACTTCAATTATTAGAGTTTTATGATTTCTCTTAGCTAACTCTTGAGTTTTGAAAGTTGATTAAAGTAAAAATATCCCTTAATAAACTGTTTCTAGCCAATAGCAAACTGATTTTGTCTAAATCAAATAGAACTAGAAAGTAAATGGTGTGAGCTGAGGCAAATACTGCAGTGTTAGTGCTGCCTTTTCATGCCCTTGTAGCACACACACTTAGGCCAGTCCCTTGTTATTTATTTATTATTTATTTATTTATTTATTTACTTATTTATTTATTTATTTATTATCTATCATCTACCTATCTATCTATCTATCTATCTATCTATCTATCTATCTATCCAGGACAGCCCCGGATACATCAAGATCTTTTAATTATTTATTTATTTATTTATTTATTGGTTTTGTTTGCAACAAGGTCTCCTTGTAGTCCCAGTTGGCCTGGAACTCACTATGTAGACCAGGCTGGACTTGATCTCACAGAGATCTGCCTGCCTCTGCCTCCTGAGTGCTCCTATTAAAGTTAGCATGTGCCACCATGCCGAGCAGTCCCTTGTTGTTTTTAAATAAATTCTTTTTTAATTTTATTGTCACGGGGTAGAAAATTTTTGTAGAGTCAGTTTTTCCACCTTTACATGGGTGCTGGGGCTCAAAATCAGGTCAGTCATGCACAGCAAGTGTCTTTACCTGCTGAGCCATCTTGCTGGCTCTTTCTTTATGCCACTTTAAAAAAAAATTATTTATGGGACTGGAGAAATGACTCAGCAGTTAAGAGCATTCACTGCTCTTGCAGAGATCCGGGGTTTGGTTCCCAGCATCCATGTGATTTTATGTGTATGAGTATAGTGCCTGCATGTAGGTAAGTACACCTGTGTCGTGCAGTGCCCACGGAGGACAGAAGAGGCTATTGGATCCCCTGGAACTAGAGTTACAGTTGTTAGCTGCCATGTGGGTGCTGGGAATCGAACCCGGGTCTTCTGCAAGAACAGTCAGTGTTCTTAACTGCTGAGCCATCTTTCCAGCCCCATAAAATATGTTTTTTAAATAACAAAAAGAGTTATAGATGATTTTTAACTGCCATGTGGGTACTGGGAACTGAACCTGGATCCTCTGCAAAAGCAACCAGTGCTCTTAACCATGGAGCCATCGCTCCAGCCCCCATTATGCCATTTTTTGGTCTGAATGTAGACATGAGAAAAAAAGAGAGATAGAAGGAGGAAAACTATTGCTAAGCTTCACACCAGTAGTTTAATGTCAAACTATAGAGAGACAATATAGTAAACAGCTTTTTTCAAAAATGAAAAATTTGCCAGGCATGGTGGCGCATGCCTTTAATCCCAGCACAGAGGCAGAGGCAGGCGAATCTCTTGAGTTCAAGGCCAGCCTGGTCTACATAGTGAGTTCCAGGACAGCTGGGGCTATAGGGAGACCCTGTCTCAAAAAGACCAAAAAAAAAGAAAAGAAAAATGTATTTTATGACTTTGGTGGTTACTAAAGAGATTTTTTAAACTTTTGCATATTTGGATTAGTTACCAAAGGGAGATTAAGAGCTAATAAAATTTTACACTATACACAGTGCAGCGTTATTTGCAGCAAAGTTGTTTTTCTCTTTGTAGAGGCAGGAGAGGAATAGTATCTTCTTGATGAAGCATCAGCTTATCCATTACAAACTATTTGACTTGAGACTAGCAAGCAAACAAACACGCTTTGAAAAACAAGCCAGTGTCAATTGCTTTATTGTAGCTCATGGTAGCTATTTGAAAATGTAAATAATGTAAAGGCATGTGAGAATACCAAAGGATCATAAGTTGACTAACACCATATTAAGAATTTTTTTAAGGAGCTGGAGAGATGGTTCAGCAGTCAAATAACTGATGTAGCCAGGCATAGTGGCTCGTACCTTTAATGCCAGCACTTAGGAGGCAGAGGCAGGCTGATCTCTGTGAGTCCACCAGTCTACACAGAGAGTTCCAGGCCAGCTAGTAGTGAAACTGTCTCAAAAAAAATCAAACAGGAAAAAAAAAAAAAAAAAAAAAAAAAAAGCTGCAGTCTACTGCCTTAGATAAGTATAACACTGTGTTTAAAATTTTAGCATTTGAATTTCCTAATCAAGTCACCATGTTTTTCCTTCTAAACCGTTTTTCATCTTTTAGCTAATTTAACATCAGAATGAACTTATAAAGGACTAAACACATTGTGGAGATCTTACTGCCTTTAAAAAAAAAAATAGGCAAAGTTGAGGGTAGCTGGAGAGAAGGCTCAGCAGTTAAGAACACAGATTCTTGTAGAGGAACTGCATTTGGCTCCCAGCACCCACATCTGGTGGCTTATAACTACTTGTGACTCCAGCTCCAGGGGGATCTGACACCCTCTTCTGGCCCCTGTAGGCACCTACACTCATATGCACATACCCTCACACAGACACACACCTACACATAATTAAAAATAAAAATAAAGGCCAGACATGATAGTACATGCCTTTAATTCCAGCACTGGGAGACAGAAGCAAGTGGATCTCTGTGAGTTTAAGGCTCGCCTGGTCTGCCTAGTGAGTTCCAGGACAGCCAGGTGTATATAATAAGACCCTGTCTCAAAATAAGTAAGTAAATAAATCTTTAAAATTAATTAGGCAAAATGAATTTCACAATCTTTAAAACATACACTTATAACTCCAAGATATGTTTATATTTTGGCCTGAATATAAAATGCAGATAGTTTTTTTTTTTTTCTTCAATAACCCACAGTAAGAAAAACCAAAAGCTCAGTTTATGTCATGACCTAGGATATGTTTACTTGTTTTTCTTTTCAGTGTAAAAATATTTCTTGGGTAATTATCAAATATTTTTTAATTATAGAAATATAAAAACTGTTCAAATATGCTCTAATATGAATTTTTCCCTTTTCTATTCAACTGAAAATAATTTTTTTAAAAATCGTTAAAGCCTCATTTAATTTTATGTCTTACAGGGTTTATACTGAGTACAATATTATATAACTGTAATAATTCAACTGTAAACCTAAAAATGTACAGCCAATTTTGTAAGAGATACAGCCTAGCTCAGAAAATTATTTTTGACTATGTCAATGCTGATGTTAAAAAAAAAAAAAAAGAAAGAAAAAAGAAAAAAGCAACTACTGGTGAAAACATTAGGCAACTGAAATGTTAATAAATCTCTGGTGAAAGTGTAAATTGATGTAAAAAAAATCACTAATAAGGGGCTGGAGAGATGGCTCAGTGGTTAAGAACACTGGTTGTTCTTGCAGAAGACCCAGGTTTGAATCCCAGCACCCACATGGCAGCTAACAACTGTCTGTACCTCCAGTCCCAGGGGATCCGACAGCCGTTTCTGACCCCCACAGGCATTGCACAACATGGGTGCACTTACCTACATGCAGGCAATACACACATACATGTAAAATTTTTAAAAAATAAATAAATTTTTTTAAAAATCACTAATAAAACATGGCAGTGTATTTGCTGGTAGATTTTTATTTATTTAGTCATTTGACTTTTTATTTTTTTTCAGTTCTTGAGAACTGGATCCTTTACTGTTTTTATCCCTTGTGCCAGCATGGGCTAGACTTTAAATACTTGTTTAGTTTTTATTAGGTCATGTCTTTTTGCCTGGAAAAATATTCTTCTTTAAGACAGTAACAATAGGGCCAGGTGTGGTGGTGCGTGCCTTTAATCCCAGCACTCGGGAGGCAGAGGCAGGTGGATCTTTGTGAGTTCAAGGCCAGCCTGGTCTACATAGTGAGTTCCAGGACAGCTGGGGCTACAGGGAGACCCTGTCTCAAAAAAAACAAAAAAAAAAAAAAAAAAAGAGAGAGAGACAGTAACAATAACCAAATGTTATTAAATATTATTGTATAAATTTTAGGAAAGCACACATAGAAATTGAAATTTGAATGTGAATGTTTCTTAAAATAATTTAAGCTGAATTTTTTTAATTTTTAAAAATGTTTTATGTGTATGAGTTGTTTTTTTGCTTGCATGGATATAACTGCATCATGTGCTTGCAATGCCTGCAGAGGCCAGAAGAGACCCTTGGACCCTCTAGAACTGGAGTTACAAATAGTTGTTAGCCACCATGTGGGTGCTGGGAACTGAACCCAGGTTTTTCTGCAAGAGCAGCCAGTGCTCTTAACTGCTGAGCCATCTCTTCAGCCCCAAGTGGTTTGACTTGGACCTAAAAAATTCTAGACTCAGCTTTGCTAATTAAATATTGCTTCTTTGTTTTTCCTTTCTGAGTTTATTTTTGCAACTTTTGAATTTTTTTAAACTGATATAATAAAGACTCATTGTTTTAGAATATTTGAGAGTATATAAAGTGACAAGTGAATTGGTTAAGAACTTTTTTTTACATGACATAAAAATTACTTCTGAAGTAAAATAATAAGATGTAACTACCAAAAACTGTCAACATATTTCCTGTAGGGACTTTTTGTTGTTGTTTCACATTTTTTTTTATTGAATTTTTTGTGTATTTTAAATCAGATTAAAATTTGATAAAGACCATGTTCCCAGGTCCTCTTTTTCAAGTGTAGCTCAATTTTTAGAAATTGTTTCATGATAAGGAATATTGGTTCTTTATGATACTTAAATACTATAGAAATTCTTTTAATTGGGGCTAGAGAGATGGCTCAGCGGTTAAAAGCACTGGCTGCTCTTGTAGAGGACAGGGGCTCAGTTCCCAATACCCACATGTCAGCTAACAACCATGTCGAACTACGGTTCCAGGGAATTTGATACTGTCTTAGGGCCTCCACAGACATTGTATGACATGATGACATGGGTGCACTTACATACATGCAGGCAAACACTCATACACATAAATTTAAAAGTTCTTTTAACTAATTAATTTTTTAAAATGTAATGTTTTAAATTACATTGAAGAGAATATTTAACATTTAATATTCATTGTCAGGAGAAGCAGTGTAGGAAATGGAGAAATTATTATTTCAGAGAGTTAGTATATATATTAATTTATTATTTTTAATTCAAAGAATATAGTTTTGAAATGTTTGTGATGGAATTTTTTTTGTTTTTGTTTTGTTTTGTTTTGTTTGTTTTTAATCTGACTGCAAATTTAAAGTCATGGTGATTTATTTTTCCTGGCCAAGAAACCATGATAGTTTAGTAGCATCACTCTTGGTTTATTTTTTTCTGAAACTTTTATTTCAAAATTGGGTTAATATATATATTTATGGATATAGAATTACTATTTAACCTATTTCTAATTTGATAACATTTTTTAATGCAGTTTTAATAGACTGTTGAACTTACTGAGTTGGAATCATTGATACTTGAAATCACCAGAAAATGGAAAAGGCATATAAAACTGAAAAACAATTCTAATGCTTCATCAGGTTAATAAATAGATTGAGGGGCTGGAGCGATGGCTCAGCGGTTAAGAACACCAGCTGTTCTTGCAGAAGACCCAGGTTCCAATCCCAGTACCCACATGGCAGCTAACAACTGTCCATAACTCCAGTTCTAGGGGATCCGACAGCTTCTTCTGTCCTCCACGGGCATTGCACGACACAAGTGCACTTACCTACTTGCAGGCAATACACACATACACATAAAATAATAAAATAGAAAATAAAATAAATAGGTTGATAAGAACTTTAGTGTTTTTCTCAGTCTCTCTCATATGTGTACTAAGGGAAATTATTTTCCCAGTTAGAAAATTGAATGTATAATCTAAAGAATATAGACTTTGCTCTTTGAAGATTTTTTGATACTGAAATATGGTACCTCACTACAATTTAATAAACTTATATGTGTTAACACAGTAGGCATGCAGATGTTAGATATTCCTGTTCCTGTGTGCAGTAACAGAAACCCCACAATGAGAGGAACAAAAGCATAAGGAAATGTAACCCAAGAGACCTTAAGAGATATTGACATCATTGCTCTTTTACTTTAGATACAAGTAATTTTTTGCTATATCGAATTATATGTACAGCACCTAGCTCAGTGCCAACTGTAAATGAGCTATGTGAAGTTTTCTATGGTTGACCTTATAATTGTTTCTGATGCATTTAATCGTAGCATTAGAAACATTGGTTTTGTTTTCATTATCTTTTGAAATTTAAGCAAGAATTAACCCCTTTATCTCAGGAAATGAGGATTTTAGCTATGATTTATTTTTTAATCATACTGGTTACCAGTAGGATGCTAATTGAGATGCAGTTTATCATACTATATGTGTGTTTTGTTAGGGTGCCAAGCCCCCCCCCTTTTTTTCTGCTGCAGCATATATAAATACTTAAACTCAATTTTAAGAGTTCAATGAATGTGGCTATTCCAAAACCACAGTCTTTTAATTAAATACATATATCTTTAGTTCCTGTGTAACAAGGAACTTTCTGTTTAGTAGACTGCTAAATGATGTGTGTTCAGCTTGACAGAAAATGTATTAGTCACTTAATATTATACATTAAAAAATTATTTCAAAAAGATACTTGGGATTGGGGACATTTATGATAAAATTTAACCAGAAGATGGCAGTGATGAGCCTCCTATACTTCCTGCAACGGTAATCAAAAAGTTTTCCAAATGTCATAGCATGAAATGTGCACGTTCAGCTACTGTGTATAGTGTGAAAAGTTGAGAATTTGGGGAAAAGCATTTACTATTTGTTTAATATACTATAAAATGTATGTTTTTCTATAAGAAGGGATTAAGAATATTTTGGGTGTCTGTATCTTTGTCTGTACACTTCAGTTTTTTCTGAATACTGGGGTAAGGATGTTATCATAAGTCTTGCCTTGTTTAAATTGCATGCATCACTTTACGTTATGCATCATGTCTAGAAGGCATGCTGTTTTATGGCCTGTTTGCATTTTTTATCTAAATTGCTGAAAAACTAATGGACATTTTAAAGGAGCCATTCCTTTAGCTGTATCATTTCTCTAAATTGCCTCTTTTCAGTGGGGAGAAATTGGTTTTAAATACTAAATTTTTGAGGCAACAGATCAAATCCATGACCTTGTATATTCTTAGCAATCACTATACCACTGAACTACATCCCCAGACCTAAAAATGTTTTAAAGAAAAAATTATTAAAGATTAACGTTTTAAAATAAATGTTGAAAAAAGAGTGATTAAATGACTTGAAACCTATTTCAAGATTTTAATTTTGGCAGCAATTGTAAATAATACATATAAGCTGATATTCTTAAAAGTGAGACATTAACAAGGAGGGGAAGGAATGTTCTCCTTTGAAATTAGTGGCCACATTTGGTGATGAATGAGATGAACATGAACCTTTCCATAATCTGCCTTTAAAATATATATATATAAAACCTGAATGCATTTTGCCAGAGAAATAGCATGAATCATCAGCATGCATTGTTAACTTTGTCTTTTCCCCTTTCTTTTTATTGTTCATTTTCATTCATGTTATTTTTTGGTTTTTGGTTTGTCATTATTTTTTCCTTTTTTGTTAATTACTTCATGTTAAATTATTTTTTTGAAACGTCATAAGCTGAACAACCTCTCCGTGTAGTAACAGCGGATACCTGTCTATTTCACTATTTAGTCCCTCCTCCTATGTCTCCATCCTCCAAATCTGTGAGCACACCAAGCGAAGCTGGAAGCCAAGATTCTGGAGATGGCGCTGTGGGATCTAGGTACAGTAATTATTTTTTTTAATATTTTAATGATGGAATAGCATGTACTCAGTGTCCAAATATGTCAGTGCATTAGAGGGATTATAAATATGTATGGTGACTTAGCCCTCACTTAAAATCTAAATGGCATAGAACCTCTCTGTTGTGAATTGGGTAATTTTTTGCAGTACTATTTTAGCTATCACACTTTAGTAGTAAATAGTTAAGTGATTTTTAATACATAAAATAACGTGGCTGATGAGATGACTCAGTTGGTTAAGAGCAGTTGCTCTTGCAAAGGACTGAGTTCAGTTCCCAGCACCCATGGCAGGTGGCTTACAACTGCCTGTAGCTCCCATTCCAAGGGATCTGATGCTCTTACTTTTACAAGCACTGCACACACACACAGTGCACATAAACTCACTCGGGCACACACACATAAAATAAAATAAAAAAAAAAATTTAAGGGAATTAAAAAAATAATGCATAATATATCAAGGATAAGCAATTGCTACAAAGGAAACATAGAATTTTTACTTCTACGTTTTATTGAGCTTTCATCTTCCTTGTAAAATTCAATTTTGTATTTTAGGATTCTGCAACATGTTGAAACTTGCTTTTCACAAATTCAATAAGAGTTTATCTTTTTTTCCAAAAGCCATATTGGGGGAAGTATTACTTCTTCCTATGTCCTACTTGTTCACACATGTACATATGGGCAACCGTTAGTCTTTATTTAACAGCACCCTACTTTTGACTTCTTTTGTTTGGTCTTTTTGAGGTAGGGTATAGCTTCTTATAGCTCCAGCTGGCCTGGAATTTGCTATGTAGAACACACTGGCCTTGAACTCATATAGATCCGCCTGCCTCTGCTTCCCGAGTGCTGGGAAATGGGAGTAAACAGTAAGTCAAAAATCACAGCTAATTCAGAATCCCTATTTTTGGGTCAAGAACTTAAATATCCTCCCCAGAAACATATCTTAGCATATCTTTTTTTTTTTTTTTTCTGAGACAAGGTCTCACTATGTAGCACTGGCTGGCCTCTATGTAGACCAGGCTGACTTCAATCTCATAGAGATCTGCCTGCCTCTGCCTCCCAAGTGCCAGAATTAAAGGTGTGTGCCACCATGCCTGGCAGCATATCTTTTTAATAAAAAATAAAGGCCAGGGTTATCGCTCATTGGTGGAGCACTCGGCCAGCATGTGCAAAGCCTGCTCTTGATCCGTAGAAGCATAAGAAAACAAAAAGGCTCCTAAAATTTCTCATAATTTTTTTTCTTGCCTATGTCCACCCTTCTGAGCGAAGATTCAAATAAGCAAGTCTCTGAAAGCGGCAGTGGGGAGGGGGGGCAGACCTACAAAGGTATAAAAGGGACTAGATGATCCAAAAAGTAAACACTTTGTTTAGTTTTTGAATAATCTGGTTATCATTAACAATTAGGCACAAAAACATGCCAGTTTGAATCCTAGATGTGCTTTATAAAAATGGCAAATCTAACAATACTATTTTTGCAGGTAAATAATACTCATATTTAAGAAAAATCAAAACTCTTTTGAAAAATAATATAATTTCTCTATAAAATTATGAAGACTATTTAATCTAAATTTATTTTTAGGGCTAGTTGTTTATACTTCAACACTTTTTATGCAAATATGTCAATATTCTTTAAAATATCTAGTAAGAAATTGATATTTTCAAGTGAAAGCTTGTTTTTTCTACAGGCATTATAATAGTAAAAATATTTCCCAACATCGAAAAGTTACTGTACTTATTACATTTATTTATTATCTTTATGTAATACCATGTATACTTTGTGAGCTTTGTTCCTGATTTTGAATAGGAATAGAGGGATTATTTTAAGACCCTATCAGTAAGTCTGTTTTTATTTTTATTTTAAAAAACATTTTGGCCGGGCGTGGTGGCAAACGCCTTTAATCCCAGCACTCGGGAGGCAGAGGCAGGTGGATCTCTGTGAGTTTGAGGCCAGCCTGGCCTACATGGTGAGTTCCAGGACAGCTGGGGCTACAGGGAGACCCTGTCTCAAAAAGACCAAAAAAAAAACAACAACAACAACAAAAAACCCACATTTTGTTTTTATGTGTATGAGTGTATTTCCTGATTATATGTAAGTGCACCAGTGTAGGGCAGTGCCCATAAAGGCCAAAAGAGAGCATTGAATTCCCTGGAACTGGAGTTATGGATGGTTGTTAGCCACCATCATATTTTTTTTTTATTCTTATTCTTTTATGAAGTTAGTTAAAAATTAATGAACAAGAAATTAAAGAGACTGCGCTGCAATTAAGTTAGAATATTCTAACTGAAAAACAATTACTGTGAAACTATTTACATTCTCATAGAATTATAAACATTTCTCAAGGAATACTTTACAGCACAACTTTTTTTTTTCATACAGAAGATTTCATTCCAAAGCAATTGACATTGAGACGTTTTCACATGCATTTCTAATCTCTAGATACATGACTATCACTGGTCACAGTCGCCCACCTTCTGAGCTCCTCGGCATCTGAGCATGAATACAAACTCGTCAGATAGACAGCCTTCCTCTCCCACTAGAGGCTCTGCAAGAGCAGCTAGTGCTCTTATCCACTGAGTCATCTCTCCAGCCCTCTGTTTTTAAAAGTACTTTGTAACATTTACTTAATTTTTAAAGTTAATGTGAATTAAAATGAGTCCTCTTCCATAGATAGCCTAGAAACTACTTAGAGATGTTTTGGAATATTGTAAATTGGTACAGGAAGAAATGCTGGTAAGAAAAATATTTTGTGTGTAGAACAATTCATTTAATTGCTAACTTAGTGTTAAATACTCTAGATTATCACATAAAATTCTCTGATTTTACAGAATGTGCTTTCTAGTGATCATATCATTAGCTTAATGATATTCTTTTTAAGTGCTGTAAGGATATACTGTCTTATGCTTAATATATATTTTATGACTAACTATAAAATAAGAAAACAAGTCGCTTTATACTGTTAGAGGTGTTTATTCTTATTAGAGAAAGAAAACAAGTTTTTTCCTTAGTATAATAGGAAAGGAAAGAACTTTTAAGTCTTAATACATAGTTTCCTTTAAAGTACTAATTCACTTTGAAATAATTTCAAGTGTACTGACTATGTCCAATTTTACACACCTAGGTAGAAAACTATGAATGTCATTGAATCATCTCCAGTTTCCATAATGGAAAGATAATTAATTTGTGGATGCTTATAATGATAGTGAAAAATGTATTTCTAAATACATGGCATTTAAAACAAATACTCACATGTGAGAATAAGACAGAATAAGCTTATAAAGAGCAGAAATAATAAGGGAAGAATGAGAAGATACATCATAAGAAAATGCATCAAATTATGTATACATACCTATCTATATACTCAGCTCCATTTGTTGACCAGGGTGGTTTTAATACATGCACAAAGTAGGGAAAGTTAGACTCGACATTATAAAAATATGACACCTTACCTGTCTGAATCACTCTTTACATGCTAAACATTTATCTTGGTACTGGCAATAACTTATGTATAAAATGCCATGACTTGAGATTTTGCATGATAGAAGTTGTGTTTCATTGTTTCTAGCTCGCTTTCTTAATCACTTCTGTAATCCATGCTTATTCCTTTCATTCTATTTTTGATTAGTTTATTTCTAAGACTTATGTATACTTTATATGTCTAATATATACATATATACATCATCATGTAAGCTTTATAATGTGTTTTTTTAGTACTGGCTATATTCTGAAATGAGATTTTGCTTGATTATAGTAAAAAAATTACATCTTGAGCAAGGAGGTTTGTGTTATTGATAGCAGTTAGAGCCCTTGCATAATGTAGAGGCTGTTGACAGAACATTCCTTGGAGACCATCTCATAAAACTGCTTTTGGTTTAACAAAGCCTAAGTTTGTTGCTTTTCATTGCTTAGTACAAAGTAGGTCCTTACTGTGGCCCCTCCTTTTTCGTTGTATACACATACAACTCTTCAACTCTGTTTAAATTCTAAGATCTTTCCTTATAATTTTTTAGATGAAGGATTTCTCTATTTCATCTAATTGTCTTTTATTGATGTTATACAGGAAAGTAATCATTTGTTGTATTAAAATATTGTAAGAGCTAAAGGTTGTACATTATAGAACTTGTATAAATGAGAAACAAATGTATTTAACAAAAATGGTAGTACTAAATATAGTATTTTCCTTTTCAAATAGGACCTATGAGCATGATGCAGTATTGCTAACTTAAAGAAAGTCAATGTGATAAATTACCTTTGTTCTAATAATGACTAGATATAGCATAAGTGGAAAAGGTAGGTGAAAGATATTTACACATTAGACAGTGCTGAAACCACTGAATATTATTTAGGATTGAGATTGTCTAAAAGTTAGGTAAATCAGTTGAACAGGGAAAAATCTTTTTTTTTCTTTTTTTTTTCCTAGAGACAGAAATCTTTAGTTCTTTTCTAAAGCAGATGACATGTAAGCCCAAGGCAGTGCTTAACCCATAAATTACAGCAAGGTCACATTTTGGAAACTCTAGCTATTTTGTATCCCAATGGAATGGTCTTGGTTTTCTTACCAAAAGGCTTATGTGTTGACTCATTTCCTTTACCAGTATGACAATTTCCTGCACACATTTAATGCTTTGGGCAAGATTAGAATATGTTAACTGTTCTTATTGGTTTTTTTCACTAGGAATCTTAAACTTTTTATCTATTTTATAGCCTTGTTTGTTATCTCTACATAATGTATTATTGGAGTTGTTGTGTGCTTTAGTTGTTCTTGTCTATTACTGTGCAAGATTAGTTTCCGACATTCTGAAAACACTTTGTAACAGTTCTGGGTTATATCCCTGAATCATTAACCATGTTAATGCTTGTTTGCATGCAGTAGAGCATTGGGGTGATACCTAGTGTATGGGGTTTTGTTTTGTCTTACTAACCAGAACAAGTAGTTTTTCATTGTGAACAGTGCTATAGCCTTTGCTATTTATAGGATGTATTTGCTTGACTAACCTATGACCTTTTTTACTAATGCTTCGTGGTTGTCCTACAACCATTTAGGACGCTGCATTGGGATACAGATCCATCAGTTCTTCAGCTTCACTCAGATTCCGATTTGGGGTATTGAATAGATTTATTACCTTCCCTCTTTAATAAATTTGATTCTTTGTGACATTGTCCTAATTTATTTTGCTTACATTTCTAATGCTGCAGTACATACTTAGGACAAGAGTTTTATTTTACGGTGATACCTCATTTATCCTATTTTATGATTAGTAAAAAAAAAAATAGTCATATGTAATTTTAGGTATCATAAGTCTACTCAAATGTCCAAATTCTTTATATTATTTCTATATTTGATATAAATTTTTCTAAACTGTACTAAAAAGTTGCCAGAATTTTTAAAGTATAAATTCTACTTGTAATTGAACTTTTTGTATTTGATATGAGAATTAATTTTCCTATAATAAAATTCATTGATGAGTTTAAAGTTTTTGAGAGGAAAAGATTTGTAGTCTGTGTATTATGTCCCTAAATTTCTGTTTATTTACTTATTCTTTCTTGTATTCATTCATTCATTCATTTATTCTAGGCTCTAATTAACATAAATGCTTGCTGTTGTCATTGTACCTGACTCAGGTGTTTTTCCTATTAAATTTGTAGCTTCTGAAACATGTAACTACATGCTTGAGAGTTATATCTAAAACATTGAATTAAGGCATATAAAAAATTATTTGAGCCTCTTGTACATTAGCTAGACCTCTCCCTTGGGTACCCCAAGTCCCTCCCCCAACTCCATTGATTCTTATGTGGCTTTTGGATAAGTGAGGTATTTCCTCTTGCTCTTCTAAAAAATCTTGGAATTTTTTGTTTTAATATGTTGTTTTTGACTATTAGATTTATTGTGCTTTCAGGTTAGTAACTTGTTCCTAATACTGTTGGCTTGACTGTTTTCTTTTCTATATAGATGAGTGTTTTACTCTTTAATGGTCTGCATTTTAAAACTTAGAATATAAAGTTCTTATATCAAACTTTATTCTAGATTATTTTAGAATATACTTGCATTTTACCATTTAACCATTTTATGATACTTTTTCCCCCTTACAGTTAAGATATTCTTAAAGTAGAAAAACATTAAAAATTACTTATGACCCACATGTAGTACTTTAGAGCAATTTTTTGTGTGTATGTGTTTTTCTTTTTCTGAGAGAGGGTCTTATGTAGTCCAGGCTGGCCTCGAACTCCTGATCCCCTGCCTCCGTCTCCTAAGTGATAGGATTACAAGTATGCACCACTGTGCCTGGCTCACAATTTAATTTTTAAGTGTGTTAATTTTATTACACTTTTTTGGGGTACAGAATCTAATATAGTTGTTAAAGTTGAAAAATGTTTAGTATATTACCAGTGACATATTGAAAAAGATGTGCTTATTTGTGAAATATGTTTCCATTATCCTGCCTGATATATTAGTCCAATATAATAAAATAGAAATCCCCAAATAATTATAACAAGAAGAGGCCTTTTGGTAGGGTGTCCCTCTTTCTTAGCTGCAACTCTCTTGTTATTTCCTCCATCTTACTAAACCAGGTGACTTCAGTAGTTTTTTTATATTCAAAGAATCTATTACTCTAACTAGGCTTAAAATATTTCAACCTTAATTTGTCTTCTGTGAATCACAGACAATATTGACCATGTAGAGATTTTAAAAAATTAAATATCTCATTTTAAAAATCCATACTTATGTGTTTCTTAATCTCTGCCAAATGTTAGAAGTAGGAAAAGGGGCTTTCATGGCCAACACAATGGTTCTGGAAAAGGCGCTTGCCGTGCAAGCCTTAGCCACATGAGTGCAATCCCTGGAATCTACGTAAAGTTGTGTAGAGAGAACTGGCTCCTCAAAGTTGTCTTCTGACTTCCACACGTGCACTGTGGCCCATGTATGTGCACATGTACACTGTAAACAGGTTTTTAAAAAAGAAAAAAAGACTTTCAACAGAAAACTTTTCAATCTTAAAATCACAGTCTGCTAATGGTGAGTTAACTAAATATGTCTGAGTAAGATCTATGCAGTTGATGCTTCAAAAAAGTCCGAAATCATATCTTTGATGTTCTTAAAAACCTATTTTCTTCAGCAGTCTATTCTGAGACTTCTGATCTCTCACTCTGTTATTACCCATGTATTTGCTCTAAGAAATGAAATTATTTGCCTTTTGAAAATGAAAAATAGTCACCCTAAATGATTAGAAATACCCTTTGTTTTCTCTGCCTTCTAATCCATTGTTCACATGACATTTCTTAAATAAAGCAAGGTTTTAAATTACAATGCTAGGTACACACAAATGTTTAATTCTTCAGTTTTGAAAATAGTATGTTTGATATGGTTTAAATGTATCATTTGTTCTTTAAAAAAAATTTATATTTACTTAATTTAGACGAGGACCTATTAAACTTGGAATGGCCAAAATTACTCAAGTTGACTTTCCTCCTCGGGAAATCGTCACATACACAAAGGAGACTCAGACTCCAGTTATGGCTCAACCCAAAGAAGGTGAGTTTTCTGTCCTTAATATGATTTCATTAGGACCTCAGGTTAGTGAGTAGAGTTGGGTCTTTTTCTTATTTTGGCACATGCTCGCACATGGAAAGCAAAGGAGAATGGCAGGCATTCTGTTCCATCACTCTCTGCCTTCTGCCCTTGAGGCAGGTTTTATTTTTTTACTGAACCCAGAACTACCCTGGCAGCCAGCAAGCCCCAGTGACCCTCCTGTCTCTGTCACCACAATCTTGGAGTTAGAGGCATACATACATGATCTGATCTGACTTTTTTTTAAATATAGGTACTAGGGATTTGAACTTAGCACCTCATGCTTGTCATAGTAAACACTCTTATCCAGTGCTCCATCTCTACAGCTTCTATTTTTGGCATATTTTCTTTTCTTTTTTTAGGGGGAGGGGTGGGGGTTTGAGACAGGGTCTCCCTGTAGTCCTAGCTGGCCCAGAACTCACTATGTAGACCAGACCTTAAACTCATAGAGATCTGCCTGCCTCTGGGATAAAAGGAGTACACCACCATGCCCGAGCTTGGCATATTTCGTAGGGAAACTCTAAAATTAGTCATGCTTTTCAGCTTCTGTATTTATATACCATTTTAAAGAGTTTTGAAGCTTTTACATTTTTTGGAATGGCCAAAATTACTCGTTGAGTAATTTTTTGTTGTTGTTGTTGTTGATATAAACTCAAGTTCTCAATATTCATTTGTCACTGATATATATTTCTTTGAGAAACAGAAAAGCTTAGTGTTCTATTCCTGTCATTGAGCATAAAGAGATTATATTCCCAAAAGAGATTGTGTGCAACAGTAAAGGAAGTCATGTAAATTATTTTCTGTAGGACATGACATATTCTGATAATGCTGTTATTATTATTGAAAGTAATAATCAAATCTTGGGCTGGGGATATAGCTCAGTGGTTACTTACCTAGCATGTGTGAGGCTCTTAAATTTTCTCTTTTATGATTTAGGGACTCTACTATGTTAATTATTTAGTACCCTTTAATCTGTATTAGTGGCAAAAGTATATGCAGATAGTTATATTGAGTATAGAGTCTTAGGTTCTTAAGCCAAAATACCATTTTTAAATTGAAGATCAATTTTTTAAATTTTAAATTTACTATTTTTATTTTATGTGTATGAGTGTATTGCCTGCATGTATGTGAGTGCACCTGTGTCATGCAATGCTGTGGAGGTTAGAAGAGGACTTCAGATTCCCCTGGAACTGGAATTAAGGACGGTTAGCTGCTATGTGGGTGCTGGGAATCGAACCCAGGTCCTCTGCAAGAGCAGTCAGTGCTCTTAACCACTGAGCCATCTCTCCAGCCCCAAAGAATTTTTAAAGGATCATTAAATAATGACTCTAGCATAAAGACTAATGAATTTATGTTGTACATAAAGGACAGATTTACATGAGATCCAAAAACAAGTCCACAGTCTCTTATCTGAAACCTTTGGAGCTATATATGTAGTAGCTTTTGAAACCTTTCAGCTTTTAGGAAAGTGGTAAAGTATATTATCATACATTAAGATCCCAGCAGCACCTCAGGTGTTAACGTTTTGGCAAAATATAGAAGTATGCTAAATGAGATAAATAATGATTATAAATACTTTTCTTCTGATCATGTCAGGGTTAACCACTAAATGAGTTACAAATTTTGGAGTTGTTGACAATTTGGAATAAGGTATTCTGGACCAATAATAAATTATTCTTTTTTTCTTCCAGTTTTATGTGTATGAGTATTTTGCCTGCATGTATGTAAGTGTACCCATGTGTATAATGCCCACAGAGGACAGAAGAAGGTGTTGGATCCCCTGGAACTGAAGTTACAGATGGTTGTTAGCTGCTTTGTGGGTGCTGGAAACCAAACCTGGGTCCTCTTCAAGAGTAACCAGTACTCTTACTCACTGAGCATCTCTCCAGCCCCATAAATTACATTTAATTCTTTCAATAGTTTGTGTATAGGGAACATTTTTTCCTATTTAAATATAGAAAATCAAGTATAAAAATTTAATTTTTTATCTTCAAATTTTCAGTTATATTACTGTTTCTCCATTAGTGAGAAACAAAAGTAATATTCATTACAGAAAGCTAAGAAAATACAGATAAGTCAAAAGGATAGGGGGAAAAAAATCCCTGAAATCCCTAGAAAGTGTCCAAACTTTTGTATGTCTCAACAGAAAATTCGAGTTACTGCTATTTACAACCATTTGACTAAATAGATTACTACATCCTCTTTTTAAAGTGTATATTAATTCAAAATAAAGTCTTCATTGTGATGTTTTCATACGTGCATCTATTCATCATTTATGTCCCTCCCCGGAAACCCCCTCCCGTGGTCCTTCTCTTCCCAAGTAGTGCCCCTTCTGTTTTCATCGTGGACACTTTTAACAATTCTCCTTTCTCTGCCCTCAAAGGATGGAAATGAAATAAGTACTATACATATTTCCTTTTACTTGTCTCTAATGTCTTAACATTATCAGATATGCAATGTTTAGGAATTTTTGAAACTAGGGTAACATTTTTATCCATATATTTTTTTATTTTACATAAATATTTATTTCTATGGACTTTTTTTTTCATTCCTGCATCTCCAATGGTTGGCAATATAGCTTTTATATGTGTTGTATAATCCTTATCCTAAAAGAAAATATTTGAGCAGTGGTAAACTTATTTGAGACACAAGCAACTTAAAAAGGGGGAGGAAGGAATGAAGGGAATTGAAATTCATCATAGAGAAAAAGTTGAACTATGAGTGTGAACAATACTAAAGAATGTGCAAGATTACATACTGTCCAGAAAGTTCTATTTTATTAACTAGCACATTGATTAAAGTATTGTACCTATCCTTTTGGAGCCATATTATTAGACATGTTAGAAAGTGAGCAAAATAGCCAAAATTAGGTCACGGTGAGTCATTTTAAAACAGCCTCTTTTTCTTCATCTGCTGATCTGGAGAATATATTTTTAGCTATACCATCATAGTTGTGAAGTGCATTTTGAATTTTGGAATGTAAAGTATTTAGAAACTATTTTGAATAATGCCTATTATAGCAATAATTATATTAAGTATAAGTGAAGATGTTCATTTTTAAAAATAACTTTTCTGATTATTATAGTACTTTAGAGAATTTAGAAAGCACAGAAAGGATATAAAGAAGCATTGTACGACTGCTACTGTGTACTCATTGTTAATATTTTGTTTTCATTGAATATATTCACTTTTTAGTATTTTTTCAGTAGTTTTATATATATGTATATATGCACATGCAACTTTGTGGCCTACTTGAAATTTACAATTTTATTTTTTTAATTTTAATTATTATTTTTGATGTGTATGAATGTATTGACTGCATGTATATAAGTGCTCCCATGGCATGCAGTGCCCATGGAAGTCCGAAAAGGGCATCGGATCCCTGGAACTGGAGTCACAGACAGTTGTTAGCTGTCGTGTGGATGCTGGGAATCAAACCTAGGTCTTCTGCAAGAGCAGCCAGTGCTCTTAAGCACTGAACCTTCTCTCCAGCCCCCAAATTGGCATTTTTAAAAAGATTCATTTTTATTAATTTATTAAAGTAGGTATATGTGTGAGTATGTGCGCATGAGTGCAGTGCCTGGGGAGGCCAGAGTTGTCAGATCCACTGGAGCTGGAGTTACAGGCGGTTGTAAGCACCCCCATGTAGGTGCTGGGAATCAAACGCCAGTCCTCTGCAAGAGCAATATGCCCTTTAACCCTGAGCTGTCTCTCCAGCCCAAATTCTCTGTTTTTGTTCATTTGTTTTATTTCGGGTTGAGGGGTTGTTGTTTGATTGGTTGGTATTTGGGTTGGGGGTGTTTTTTGTTTGTTTTTGGTGGGTCTGGGGATTGAACCCAGGCCTTGGGCAAGCTCTTTGTCACTGTGCTACTTCCTAATCCCAAATTTGCCCTGTAATTTCTTACTTTTAAGATACTTGTAGATTTGTGGTGGTGGTGTTTTGGGGTTTTTTTGTACACCAGGCTGGCCTCAATATCACAGAGATCCATTGGCTTTTGTCTCCTGAGTGCTGGGATTAAAGGCCTATACCACTGCACTTGGCTTAAAATTATTATTTTTATAATACAAATACTTTGTGCTTAATTACATTTGTTCTTTCTCATTGCTTTAATACAGTGGTCCTCAAACTCAGCCTGAGTGGTTAGCACTTAAGAATTTCTTAACAGGGCAGGGGTGTTGTTTAGTGGTAGCCTTCTTGCCTCACCCTCAAAAGACACCAGATTTAAGCTCTAGCACTGCAGTTTTGCTTGTTTGCTTTTTACCATTGGAGAATTATGATTGGAGTGTAAAAGTAAATTCAGGAATGCAGTATAATCAGTGCAGAAGTACATGTGAGCGAAAAATCAGTCTTAATTCTTACCAGTATTCCATTTTTTGTTATTTTTAAATGATCAAACCAGTTCTTTTAAAAGATAATTTGGCTTGGCCTTGTTTTTCTTTTTCTCCTTCTAGCTATCTTCTTACTGTCAAGTTTATCCTGTAAGTTGGCAGTCCTGTTTCTGAACTAAGGTGCTTTTCTGTCCTAAAGCACCTACTGTGAATGAAATTGACTAGGACCATGTGATCTCAGTCAATTTCCTTCTCCCCAGGTAAACAGCTTCTAGCAAGAGTGGAAGCCACAGATACACTCCTGGTAGTTACTTTCTTCCTTTACCTTTTAAAAGTTTTAACTCTTGAAAATGACATTATTTTTTTTTCTTATCCACCTCTTCAGTGTGGGATTTTTGTTGTTGTGACTTTTAGAAAAAAGGATTTAAAGTAGGAAGAAATCCTAAGGGCTGTTTAATCAGTTTGTTTACATCTATGGAAACCAAGGTCCTGGGGAAGTTCATTGATGAACCTAAGTTTGTGGTGGGAGGAATACCAGGGTTACAACCAGAACAACCTAGCACTCCACTTCTGAAGTGCCTTTCTCCTTACTCCATTCCACTTTTTATGTGAGGGGACTTCCAGTTTATTATTTA